AATGAGAAGGATAAAAGTGGTAGGCAGACTCACTAAGCACTGCTCCATCTCGGTGACCTTTCTTGCCTGATTTGCACTGCCCACAAGTGAATGCAGCAAGACACAAACTAAAGGACATTAAAGGCCTGGCGAGTTCTCAGAGTATGAGCTGCAGTACTTTGTGAACTATCAGAAACTCCTCTGTATCCTGCAATGAGCTTATATACTATAGAAGCGACAATCCACACACACAATAGGAGAATGAAAAAACAGTAAGATCAATCAACATTTCTACCTCAAAGCCACCAGAGCAAAGGTCAGCAGCCCTGTGTTTTAACATACCATTAACAATGCAATAATGACATGAACCAGTTATGGTGTTTAAAATGAGAGCTGCTCCTACACCTCTAATAATTTTCCAGCTATCTTCCTGCTGCCTCTCACCCCATTTCTTTACCACACCCCTCCATGCTGTTAATGTACTCCCTTAATGTTAATGCCTCTGTATAGTCTGAGCTCTATTAAAGTTTGAGGCCACAGGTGTTCAGTGTGTGCATCAATAGATCAGCCTCTTTAACGCAGACTCAACTGAGACTAAGTGATTTATAAAATGTTTTCTTCCACTCTAAGCATGGCAACAACAACAACAAAAATCAGACACCAAAAATAACCTCACACTGTATTTGCCAACTTCAACTATTTTACTATTTTTTAGGAAAGATCTGCATCCATTGTGAAAAGTTTCACTCTGATACAATTTCAAATGACCAAGACATACCCTGCCCAACTGTTTTAACACCAGATACAAAATAATAATTTAGGGTTGAAAAGAAATTACGTCACACCTGAGGATTAGTCAACTAGCCATGGTATAATTGTGCTGTCATGCCCTGAAATGTAAAGGAAGTAGAAGTAAGTATTGATTTAGTTGCACCTTCATCAGTCAGTCTGGTGGGGCATACCAACCGCACCTACTGATTTCTGGAAGGAGTTAATGAGAGCCTGTGGGCTCAATCAGCCTCATCACCCTGCTGCTACACCTGCAGTAGGTATCAAGCCTGGAGGAAGGAGTTAAAAGAGCTGAACAACCCCGCTCACCTGGGGGTTGATGAGAAGAAGGGCAGGTTGCTGGCTCTCAGTGATAGAAAGCTGGTGACAATCGTAGAGGTGAGTTGGACTGCTAGTATAGAGCCTCCTGGAAGGCAGGCTGGCCGGCCAGCAACAGGAAGCCCAAGACAGTTGGGAAGGAAAGTGAGTCTGCCAAGAATTCTCTGTACTAGGGGGGTCCGTAGGCAGCAGCAAGGGCCCTGTGGAGCCAGGGACTGCCGTTCCAGGGGAGTAAAAACTCTCCTGCAGCAGGACCAGCTAGGTGAAATAAGTACTAAGAAGCTCTACAGTGAGCCTGTGGAAGAAGCTTAGAGTGGAGCTGATACACTGGGAGCCCTGGAAGAGGCTCTGACAAAGGCCCAAGACAGGGCAAGATAGGAAGTGATCCAGGGAGGCAGCAAGGGATCTATGTTGTCAGGCTTTGATTGTTTATTTAAGGGTCCCTAGACTGGAATCCAGGGGAGAGGGAGGACCTGGGATCTTCTACCAGCCCTCTGAGGAAGGTGGAGCAGAAAAACACTAACAAGGGGTATGGACTACTAAAACTGTTTTGTATATGGGGTAAGGACTAGTGAGTCCACAGTTGGACTAAAAAGGCCCAAAACAAGGTGGATGGACTACCGTTTGCTGGACTACTGGTTTACCCCAGAAGAGGTGGGACTATATATGACCAGGCCAAAGGGCTGAGTCACATGAAGAAGCTAACCACTATTGGCCAAAGCGGCTGTCAACAGGGGGTGCCCAAGGAGGAGAGTATGCTATGCCATACCCAGCCACAAGGGGGTTCATTGTCTGGTGAGTCACATGCATACAGTCAGCTTTTAACTTGATATTTAAACTAGGGCTGTCGATTAATGGCAGTTAATGCATGTGATTAACTCAAATTAATCGCGATTCAAAAATTAATCACGATTATCGCAGTTTTAATTGTACTGTTAAACAATAGAATACCAATTAAAATGTATTAATATTTTTGGATGATTTTCTAGGTTTTCAAATATACTGATTTCAATTACAACACAGAATACAAAGTGTACACTGCTCACATTATATTTTATTACAAATATTTGCACTGTAAAAATAACAGTATTTTTCAATTCCCCCTCATAAGTACTGTAGTGCAATCTCTTTATTGTGAAAGTGCAACTTACAAATGTAGAAATTTTGTTACATAACTGCACTCAAAAACAAAACTATGCAAAACTTTAGAGTCTACAAGTCCACTCAGTCTTACTTCTCATTCAGCCAATCGCTCAGACAAATAAGTATGTTTACATTTATGGGAGATAAGGCTGCCCAATTCATTAACAATGCCACGAGAAACTGAGAACAGGCATTTACATGTGACTTTTGTAGCCGGCATTGCTAGGTATTTACATGCCAGATATGCTAAACATTCGTATGCCCCTTCATGCTTCGGCCACCATTCCAGAGGGCATGCTTCCATGCTGATGATGCTCATTTAAAAAAATGTGTTAATTAAATTTGTGATTGAACTTCCTGGGGGAGAACTGTATGTTTCTGGCTTTATTTTACCTGCATTCTGCCATATATGTCATGTTACAGTTGTCTCAGATGATGACTCAGCACATGTTGTTCATTTTAAGAACACTTTCGCTGCATTGACAAAATGCAAAGATACCAAATGTGAGATTTCTAAAGATAGCTACAGCACTGGACCCAAGATTTAAGAATCTGAAGTGCCTTCCAAAATTTGAGGGATGAGGTGTAGAGTATGCTTTCAGAAGTCTGAAAAGAACACCACACTGATGCGGAAACTACAGAACCCGAACCACCAAAAAAGAAAATCAACCTTCTGTTGGTGGCATCTGACTCAGATGATGAAAATGAACATACGTTGGTCCGCACTGCTTTGGATTGTTATTGAGCAGAACCCTTCATCAGCATGGATGCATGTCCTCTAGAATAGTGGTTGAAGCATGAAGGGACATAAGAATCTTGAGCGCATCTGGCATGTAAATATCTTGCCACGCTGGCTACAACAGTGCCATACGAACACCTGTTCTCAATTTCAGGTGACATTATGAACAAGAAGCTGGCCACATTATCTCCTGCAAATGTAAACAAACTTGTTTGAGCTATTGGTTGAACAAGAAATAGGACTGAGTGGACTTGTAGGCTCTACAGTTTTATATTTTATTTTTGATTGCAGTTATTTTTGGTACATAATTCTACATTTGTAAGTTCAACTTTCATGATAGAGATTGCACTACAGTACTTAAGTGAATTGAAAAATGCTATTTCTTTTTACAGTGCAAATATTTGTAATCAAAAATAAATATAACATGAGCGCTGTACACTTTGTATTGTTATAATTGAAATCAATATAGTTGAAAATGTAGAAAATATCCAAAATATTTAAATAAATGGTATTCTATTTAACAGTCCAATTCATCAAGATTAATTTTTTTAATCACTTGACAGCCCTAATTTAAACATAACTTAATACCTCTATGCTTGTATTATACCCTTGCTTTTCTTTATTAGCGGGGAGTCTTCTTGCATTATCTTGCATCTTCATCCATTTCCTTTTGCTTTCTACCTCCACCCCTTATTTTCCTTTTTCCTGCTCTACATCAGGGATCGGCAACCTTTCAGAAGTAGTGTGCTGAGTCTTCATTTATTCACTCTAATTTAAGGTTTCGCGTGCCAGTAATACATTTTAACATTTTTAGAAGGTCTCTTTCTCCAAAAGTCTATAATATATAACTAAACTAATATATGAAAAGTAAATAAGGTTTTTAAAATGTTTAAGAAGCTTCATTTAAAATTAAATTAAAATGCAGTTCTCTACCTCCATCTCTGAATTTCTTTCCTTCCTGCTCCCACAAAAATCCTGCTCAGTGCTCTACTTTGTCATCTTACTCCCCACATGCTCCTTACTCTCTGCTCTCACCTCCTATCTCCAGGGAATGAGCCAGTAGCTCTCCAACAGTCATTCAGCCCACTAATATGTCCAAGATTTGCACTCACTTTCAGCAAGAAGGGTTTTCAATCCCAATAAATATGATTCTTCCACAGATCCTTTTATCTAATGCTCTCTTAGTAGTCCTGTGACTTTTATAACCATTTTACAGGAAAGTAAACTGATGGCTCATCTACGGCCACTATAACTAAAACATACTCTCAAATATATGATCAAAAATAGAAAAGCCCTGAAGCTTTCTGCACAAGTGGTCTCTAAACGCAGAACGACACTAGTCTATACAGTCTTAGCCTCCCAAACAGCTCTGCCAACACCCCTGACCAAGAGTTACAGCTTACATGTCTATTTCCCCTCATACCTCTTGTGCAGAGATTAATACTGATGTCAATTTGTGAAATCAGGATGAAATCAAACAACTTTCACTTCTGACAAACAAATTAAATACAGCTCTCCAAAAAACCACCCATAATCAGGAGAACCCTGATTATAAATGCAATACACTATGCCTTTCACATTTCTTTTCTAACACAGTACTCCCCAGGGATGGACACTGTTCCCAATGTCACTTCTACCTTTATTTTCTACTTTCAGCATGCATTTTGGGATAACCTCTTAACAGTTCTGTATTCCTGCATCGCCCCTGTGAGCGGTGATAGAGAAATACGCCCAACCCGTTGACAAAGCACAAACTAGGACAAGACACAGCAGGCCTGTGTTTGTTTCACAGCGGCTGCCTGGTCTCTAGGCTGGTCCCCCCGAGAGTCCAGCCAAAGGTCTCTGCCCCAATAGGCAAAGCTCGCCCTGCACGTCGCCCCAGCTTCCTGCAAGAGCGTCTCTGCCTCGGCGATAGCACTGATCACTGCCCTGCCGCCAAGAGCACTAGGTGCGGGGTGACTCCGGCAGGGCCCAGCCCGGGAGGGGATCCGCGCTCCGGCCGGGCAGAGCCGCGCCGCCCTGCGTGACTCACCCCACGGCCACTCTGCTCCACGGCCGGGTGGGCCTGGTGATAAGCGCCTCCCAGGCCGCCGCCATGCTGCTCTCGGCCGGCTCGGCCCACAGGCGGCCGGCCAGGTAGCGCAGCGCCGCGCCGGGCAGCTCGGGCTCCCGCACGAAGAGGTAGCCCGCGGCCAGGGCCAGCAGGGCCACGCACACCGACCGGGGCCACATGGCGCGGTCCCGAGACCGGCCCGCCCGCCGAGAGCCGGGGCAGGGGGCAGCGACCGGGGTCGGGGGCTCCAGCTGTCCGGCTCGGGGCGCGTCTGGCCCCAGCCCAGCTGCCCGGGGTCTCCTCGGGGGTCTCCTGCCTTCTTGTTTAGGCGTCTCTGCCTGGGACCCGCCACGTCCTAGGAGCAGGAATCAATTGACGGTCAGCGGGGCCTCCCTACGCTATCTCCGTAATGCCACTCCGGCACGCGCCCCGACCTGCCTTAAACAGTTTGGGGAATAGCGACCAGCTCTATAGGAACAGCGCAACCCGTCCCACCGGTATCTGCGTAACTTCCGACTTACCCTAGACGGGCTCCGGCTGCGCAGCCGCGCATCCAGAAGACAGCAGTGGCCGCGGAGTACGGCAACCAGCTTGCATGTACCAACAGGGGAATAGAGAGAGGGGGAACACGAATGTACCACCGGGGAGGGGGGTATAAGACCGCATCCTTTGGAGATGAGGGATAGTCCAGGAGGTGCACGTAGATCAGGGCTCTCGTAGCAGTCTGTTCCTGTGCCCCCAGGGCTGGATTTAGGGGCAGGTGACCACGTGGGGTGCCATGTTTGGGGGGAGCGGGGGTGCCAGGCTCTGGCTGCTGTGCCAGTCAATGAGCTATAAGAATGAAGTGATGTGAGACGACTCAAGCCCAGCTGCAGTATTGTGAACCTTGTGTAACTGTGAAAGTGTACTTGTGTTTTAAGATTTGAAGAGTATAAGTAGCGACTAATAAAGGACATATTTAATGAGATGCCAGAGATAGCTCCTGAACCACTATCTACGCTGTGCTTCAATTCATAGATTCATAGATTCTAGGACTGGAAGGGACCTCGAGAGGTCATCGAGTCCAGTCCCCTGCCCGCATGGCAGGACCAAATACTGTCTAGACCATCCCTGATAGACATTTATCTAACCTACTCTTAAATATCTCCAGAGATGGAGATTCCACAACCTCCCTAGGCAATTTATTCCAGTGTTTAACCACCCTGACAGTTAGGAACTTTTTCCTAATGTCCAACCTAGACCTCCCTTGCTGCAGTTTAAGCCCATTGCTTCTTGTTCTATCCTCAGAGGCTAAGGTGAACAAGTTTTCTCCCTCCTCCTTATGACACCCTTTTAGATACCTGAAAACTGCTATCATGTCCCCTCTCAGTCTTCTCTTTTCCAAACTAAACAAACCCAATTCTTTCAGCCTTCCTTCATAGGTCATGTTCTCAAGACCTTTAATCATTCTTGTTGCTCTTCTCTGGACCCTTTCCAATTTCTCCACATCTTTCTTGAAATGCGGTGCCCAGAACTGGACACAATACTCCAGCTGAGGCCTAACCAGAGCAGAGTAGAGCGGAAGAATGACTTCTCGTGTCTTGCTCACAACACACCTGTTAATACATCCCAGAATCATGTTTGCTTTTTTTGCAACAGCATCACACTGTTGACTCATATTTAGCTTGTGGTCCACTATAACCCCTAGATCCCTTTCTGCCGTACTCCTTCCTAGACAGTCTCTTCCCATTCTGTATGTGTGAAACTGATTTTTTCTTCCTAAGTGGAGCACTTTGCATTTGTCTTTGTTAAACTTCATCCTGTTTAACTCAGACCATTTCTCCAATTTGTCCAGATCATTTTGAATTATGACCCTGTCCTCCAAAGCAGTTGCAATCCCTCCCAGTTTGGTATCATCCGCAAACTTAATAATCGTACTTTCTATACCAATATCTAAGTCGTTAATGAAGATATTGAACAGAGCCGGTCCCAAAACAGACCCCTGCGGAACCCCACTCGTTATGCCTTTCCAGCAGGATTGGGAACCATTAATAACAACTCTCTGAGTACGGTTATCCAGCCAGTTATGCACCCACCTTATAGTAGCCCCATCTAAATTGTATTTGCCTAGTTTGTCGATAAGAATATCATGCGAGACCGTATCAAATGCCTTACTAAAGTCTAGGTATACCACATCCACAGCTTCTCCCTTATCCACAAGACTCGTTATCCTATCGAAGAAAGCTATCAGATTGGTTTGACATGATTTGTTCTTTACAAATCCATGCTGGCTGTTCCCTATCACCTTACCACCTTCCAAGTGTTTGCAGATGATTTCCTTAATTACTTGCTCCATTATCTTCCCTGGCACAGAAGTTAAACTAACTGGTCTGTAGTTTCCTGGGTTGTTTTTATTTCCCTTTTTATAGATGGGCACTATATTTGCCCTTTTCCAGTCTTCTGGAATCTCTCCCGTCTCCCATGATTTTCCAAAGATAATAGCTAGAGGCTCAGATACCTCCTCTATTAGCTCCTTGAGTATTCTAGGATGCATTTCATCAGGCCCTGGTGACTTGCAGGCATCTAACTTTTCTAAGTGATTTTTAACTTGTTCTTTTTTTATTTTATCTGCTAAACCTACCCCCTTCCCATTAGCATTCACTAGGATAGGCATTCCTTCAGACTTCTCGGTGAAGACCGAAACAAAGAAGTCATTAAGCATCTCTGCCATTTCCAAGTTTCCTGTTACTGTTTCTCCCTCTTCACTAAGCAGTGGGCCTACCCTGTCTTTGGTCTTCCTCTTGCTTCTAATGTATTGATAAAAAGTCTTCTTGTTCCCCTTTATTCCCTTAGCTAGTTTGAGCTCATTTTGTGCCTTTGCCTTTCTAATCTTGCCCCTGCATTCCTGTGTTGTTTGCCTATATTCATCCTTTGTAATCTGTCCTAGTTTCCATTTTTTATATGACTCCTTTTTATTTTTGAGATCATGCAAGATCTCGTGGTTAAGCCAAGGTGGTCTTTTGCCACATTTTCTATCTTTCCTAACCAGCGGAATAGCTTGCTTTTGGGCCCTTAATAGTGTCCCTTTGAAAAACTGCCAGCTCTCCTCAGTTGTTTTTCCCCTCAGTCTTGATTCCCATGGGACCTTACCTATCAGCTCTCTGAGCTTACCAAAATCCGCCTTCCTGAAATCCATTGTCTCTATTTTGCTGTTCTCCCTTCTACCCTTCCTTAGAATTGCAAACTCTATGATTTCATGATCACTTTCACCCAAGCTGCCTTCTACTTTCAAATTCTCAACGAGTTCCTCCCTATTGGTTAAAATCAAGTCTAGAACAGCTTCACCCCTAGTAGCTTTTTCAACCTTCTGAAATAAAAAGTTGTCTGCAATGCAGTCCAAGAATTTGTTGGATAGTCTGTGCCCCGCTGTGTTATTTTCCCAACATATATCCGGATAGTTGAAGTCCCCCATCACCACCAAATCTTGGGCTTTGGATGATTCGCGAGGACAAAGGTGAGAAAAGCGATCTTTTGAACTGAAGGACTAAGGTTAATATTCCAAGGCTGTCACTTACTGTAACACTAATACATTGGTGCACAGTTCAGTTTCTTGATGTTAGTACATTTCAGTTATTCTTAAAATTAAAAAGTTTCTATAAGCTTAGAGAAAAAAAAATTATTTGCTTATTTGTGGCATGACTAAATACAGATTTACAGATCCTAGCATGCAAATTTATCATCTTATATGACAGGGATAAATCACACATGCAAATCATGCATTAAAGTCATGAAATGCGATACAAATGCAATAAAAAATAAGGTACTCAAAAGTTTAACAAATGGTGAGGGGGCGCTGAAGACACTCCTTGCCTGGGGTGCCATTTGGTCAGAGACAAACACCTACAAGATCTTTATCAAGCATTCTTAAAACTACAATTCCCACCTGGGGAAGTGAGGAAACACTTTTTAAAGTGCTTGTACAAATAAGCCCTGCTTTGGGTCCCATATGAGGAGAGATTAAAGAGGCTAGGACTTTTCAGCTTGGAAAAGAGGAGACTAAGGGTGGATATGATAGAGGTATATAAAATCATGAGTGATGTGGAGAAAGTGAATAAGGAAAAGTTATTTACTTGTTCCCATAATATAAGAACTAGGGGCCACCAAATGAAATTAATGGACAACAGGTTTAAAACAAATAAAAGGAAGTTCTTCGCACAGCGCACAGTCAACTTGTGGAACTCCTTGCCTGAGGAGGTTGTGAAGGCTAGGACTATAACAGGGTTTAAAAGAGAACTGGATAAATTCATGGAGGTTAAGTCCATTAATGGCTATTAGCCAGGATGGGTAAAGAATGGTGACCCTAGCCTCTGTTTGTCAGAGGGTGGTGATGGACGGCAGAGGAGAGATAATTTGATCATTACCTGTTAGGTTCACTCCCTCTGGGGCACCTGGCATTGGCTGCTGTCGATAGACAGGATACTGGGCTGGATGAACCTTTGATCTGACCCAGTACGGCCATTCTGATGTTCGTAGATTGACAGAGCGAGACGGGTACCCAGAAGTCAACTACTACAGGACAGGTCCAACAAGGAAAATAATAGAACACCACTGTCCATCACATACAGCCCCCAGCTAAAACCTCTCCAGCACATCATCAACAATCTACAACCTATCCTGGAAAATGATCTCTCACTCTCACAGACCTTGGGAGGCAGACCAGTCCTCACTTACAGACAGGCCTCCCCCCCACCCCCCCGAAGCAGATACTCACCAGCAACTACACTCCACACCACAGAAACACTAACCCAGGAACCAATCCCTGTAACAAACGTCGTTGCTTACTCTGTCCCCATATCTACTCTAGCAACACCATCAGAGGACCCAGCCACATCAGCCACACCATCAGGGACTCATTCACCTGCACATCTACTAATGTGATATATGCCATCATGTGCCAGCAATGCCCCTCTGCCACGTACATTGGCCAAACCGGACAGTTTCTATGTAAAAGAATAAATGGACACAATCGGACATCAGGAATGGTAACATACAAAAGCCAGTAGGAGAACACTTCAATCTCCCTGGACATTCTATAACAGATTTAAAAGTAGCCATACTTGAACAAAAAAACTTCAAAAACAGACTTCAAAAAAAACCTGCAGAACTAAAATTAATTTGCAAATTTAACACCATTAATTTGGGCTTGAATAGGGACTGGGAATGGCTGGTTCACTACTGACCCTGCCAGCAGGTAGGGGATCTTGGGTGTCGGAGAAAAACTGAGTTCTCACTTTTTGTTTGGGTACAGCAAGTCAGATGCTTTATTAA